AGAGATCCAGATTCTGGATTTACCGGGTATCATTGAGGGGGCCTCCGAAGGCAAGGGTAGAGGGCGACAAGTTATCTCGGCGGCGAAGACGAGCGACTTGATCATGATGGTCTTGGATGCGACGAAGAAGGCAGAGCAAAGGGCCCTGTTAGAGGCCGAACTGGAGGCGGTGGGTATTAGGCTTAACAGGCAAAGACCAAATATCTACCTGAAGCAAAAGAAAGCTGGAGGTATGAAGATTAATTTCATGAGCACACCAAAGAATTTGGATGAGAAGGTGAGAGTGGAATCTTATGCGCTAGAAGGGAAGTCTTGCTCATGAAAGGACAGATGATTTACAATATCCTGAGGGATTATAAAATGCTCAATTGCGAGGTCTTAGTTAGAGATGAAGATGGTACGTACATCCACCAACCACTGGCTGATATATTAAAAACCACTAACGCATAAAAGCCACTGTTGACGACTTTATTGATGTGATCATGGAGGCCAATCGAAAATACATTAAATGGTAATACCACTAAAACCCTCCAAAATACCAATATTAATTTCCTTAGCCTTTATGTGTACAACAAGATCGACTGTATCAGCATGGAATTCCTCGATCAACTCGCTCACGAAGACCATACCGTCGTCATGTCCTGCGAGCTTGATCTTGGTATCAGCGACGTTGTTGAACGTGCCTGGAAGGAGCTGAACCTGATGCGGATATACACCAAACGCAAGGGTGTAGACCCCGATTTTACCGAGGCCCTCATTGTGAGGCAGGATTCTACCGTCGAGGATGTCTGCGACCAGGTGCATAGGACATTGAAGGAGAGCTTCAAGTATGCTCTTGTTTGGGGCGCAAGTGCAAGACATGTCCCACAGAGAGTAGGGCTGGGGCATGTCGTTGCTGACGAGGATGTCATCACTATTGTTACAAAGTAGGAGGCAATTCTAAATAGTAATAAAATAAAAGGGAGGATGTTCAATAGGATACTTATGCGCCAAGTTCTGCATTTAATACATTTCAACTTACAACCCCATTGATCTTTAATACTACATGTATTAGTGTCCTCAAAGGGGGTGGTTTCATCTTTAGATCCTATACTTTCTCAAAATGCTCTTTGATGATGCCTTACGGTATCCTTCTCAGTAATCAAACAATCCAATTCCACCCTACATGACCTCAATCTTGATAGGCCACTACCGCCAGCAAGCTGGCTAGCAGTTGCTTATTCATGAATTGTGGCTAGGGTGATGGGGTGGCATTGCCCTGTGGAGCTCATAGCTAGGTTCAGGACTAGGCTTAGGATCATTATTGATAGCCTTTTATGTATTTGATTATTATATGCAGCCATTAACTTTGCAGGAGTGAAATCGATTAAAGATGATTTCTGGGAAATTGAAAGGCCGCGGCCGTCGTTGTGATCTAAGTTCTGAATACGTAAAGTAAGTTTCCAACGAAATCGAAGTGTCCTGTTAACCCAATAGAATACCAGTCAGTCAGATCTCTCTTCTCATTGACTAATGTATGTACTCCAGTTAATTTCCTTATACAAGTGAGCTCGAGAGCTTCAGACTGCACTATACGGGAATCAGTTTCGGGATGGCATTGGAATGGAAAAATGATGAGACTCAGAATTCAATCTTGAAGGATCACACTGTCCTGGACCATGGATGTTGATCAGGGTCTAATCATGCAGCCGTAAGTTTATTATCGTTGTGTCCCTGGGCCTAACCGCGTATCGTGGATCGGCAAATGGCCCCTGCTTTACTCAGGACACCTACCAACCAACGGTCTCTCGTGTAAGCACCTAGACTTAGACAACCGAATACCAGCTAAGGACACTAAGACTCCACGATATTTATTCTTTACACTCCGGTCCGCGACTCCGGTTGCGACATTTGGGGCCCATCATGATCATGATTTCACCCTTCATATTGCTCACCATAGCTTCTCTCGCCTCAGCATGGAAGGATCTATCAGATAACACTTTAAACTTCCTGCCAAACCCCTCAGATGCAGATTTTGATATTAACACGGGAAAGCTCCTCTCTCCGATCTTAATCCCTCGCGTCCCCGGTACTGAGGGATCACTCAAAGTCCTTAATCATTTCCATAGCTTTTTCACCTCAGAGCTTCCATCATGGACTCTTGCCACTCAGAACTCCTCCTCCGTAACGCCTACCTCAAATGGAAAAGAGGTTCCCTTTGTCAACTTTATGGCAACACGTGATCCCCCATGGGCACAGCCGGGCGATGTTGGTCGGCTAGTTATTGTCGCTCATTACGACTCGAAATTGACGCCGAAGGACTTTATTGGCGCGACAGACTCAGCGGTCCCGTGCGCTTTGCTTCTACACATAGCACAAAGCATTGATGCAGCTCTGACTAGGAAGTGGGCAGATCTTGAAGCGAATGGGGAAACAGGGGACGGTCTCGATGATGAAGACGACATTGCTAGGAAGGGAATTATGTTATTATTTCTAGATGGAGAGGAAGCCTTTCATAACTGGTCGGACGATGATTCGCTTTATGGAGCTAGGTGTGTTTTGGCCCGACAGCAAATCCGGTAACATGTACTAATATATCTGGCAAACAGGAGTTTAGCAGAGACCTGGGAAGCTTCGCACCATCCTGCGCTGTCCAGCCGCCATAACGAGATTTCTAACGTTGACCTCTTCCTTCTCCTCGATCTTCTCGGCTCTCAAAACCCTAGAGTCCCATCTTACTTCAGAACCACTCATTGGGCATACAATCTTATGTCCGATCTTGAAACTCGCATGCGCGAATCCAACCTTTTTCTCTCACATGGAGCTTCTCCTGGAAAATGGTTCTATGACCCACCTATGAAACCTGCGAGTGCCGACTGGCACACGATATTGGACGATCACATCCCGTTCCAAGCGCGTGGTGTGGAGATTTTCCACGTTATCCCAATTCCATTTCCGAATGTGTGGCACACCATGAATGATGATGGCAAACATTTGGACATGCAGACCGTTAAGGATTGGGCATCTCTTACCACTGCGTTCACTGCGGCGTGGCTAGAGCTCGAAGGTCATGTGGAGGCTCCGCTGGATACAGCGGGGAAAATTATTGATGATATTGGGATTGAGAAGAGGGATTATAAGAGTGAGCTGTAGCAATTATAGAACCGGGGTCGGTTCTAGGGGCGCGGGAGTGGACTGAAGAGATGTAAGTGGAGTAAGGTATACCTTGACCATTGTCATGTTATATCTCTTTTGGTGCATTTTTTTCTGTATTTTTATATTTCTTGCTCGATCCAATCATCGGGCGCTTGAATGGGTATTTTTCAAAAAGAATTATATTACGCCTAACTACTTTGTTTGGACTGAGAGGCCTAAAGATAAGATTCTATACATTGTTCCCCAAAAATTCTACTATAGCCAACGGAATTTCCTTCAGATGCATCTTCAAGGCAAAATGCACTGTTTCAAAGAACTTAATCTCTACCTTCTTCACGTCCTTTTTAAAGGCCTCCGCGCCTGTTGGCACAAAATTTCCCCACAAGGCAAGTACAGGCGGCTGTTTCTGTATTTTCCCTGTGCTGGGTTACCCGGCCTTGGACATGAGGTCGCTCAAATAGAAAGGCTTGGGCCTTCTATCGGTCTTTTTCTCCATCTCCGTCACAAAAACGTGCAGGACGACAGCCATACAATTACTCTGACGATAGTTTCTGAAGTTCCTCAAGCAGATCCCGCCATAATTAACTCATGCGAGCGTCCGGCGAGGGACGTTAGTCAGCGCGTCGTGTAACGTTGTGGCGCAGGCTAGGTGGTTGTGTAACTACGTGGTGACCTCAGGTCAGGACAGGTCACTAAAAGCAACTGTGTTGGAAGTAGCTAGTTTCCTGTAGTCTATTCTCGTCTCTTCTGTTTTCCTAATTATTATTACTTATCAGAGATAATTCGAGCTTGCGCTTTCTGCTATCAGAGCCTGAGCATGTGTCGTCCGTGAATTACGAGAACGTGCCGTTTAATTATGGTTAGAACGGGGTATGATTCCCCCCTCCTGGCAGCCGCAAAAATGCATGTACAGCCGCATTCGAAAAGTTTTGGCACCTCCGGCCGGGCCAAACTCACGAGGCAATCCTTTCTGCTTTGCAATTCTCATATTCGAGACCGTTGTCAGAGAGAGCTGCAATGTCTCTATTGCGGTCATACCTGTCAATAAGTTGAGTATGCGCGAGTGCCATGGTTGTTGGTGGGCTAAAATTCATGAACGACTCAATATAGTAGGGTACCAGTACTTTTCGAATACGGCTATACTCGGGCGTTAATTAAATAGTCGGATATCGTTGCAACCAAATCCCTACTAAGAATTCCGACCATTTAATGAACGCATGAGTACACTTTTTACAGTATTCTCCACCTGGTAAGCTCAAGCTTACCATAACGCCAAGCCCACCGGCCCAGAGCGACATTGTGCCTTCTGTGCTTTAAAGCAGCGACCCCGCAATGGGCGGCGCTTGGCGGCACGGGTAAGGGCGCGCCTAAACGGAGTTAAAAAGTCCAAAAACTCCGTTAAAACTGAAAATCCCGTTATGAGAAAAGTTGATGTGTTTACTCATGCGTTTATTAAATGGTCGGAATTCTTAGTAGGGATTTGGTTGCAACGATATCCGACCATTTAATGAACGCTCGAGTAGCATGCTACTTTTAAGTGCAGTTTTGATGATTTTAACGGAGTTTTGAAAAATTAGGTCTGACTTGCTTTTCCATGTTGCAACGCACATCCTCACCAAAATACATGCGCTAAACCCACCAAACGGTATCCATGTTTGGCAAACCAAACTCCGTTTAAGGATTTCTAAACTTTACTTCCTCCAAACGGGCCCTAAGTCGCTTCCGGCCAGTATCCCATAAACCGTCGATACTGACACCCCTAATGTGAGACCGAAAGCCACAGAACCTATTGGCTCTAGCCCCCTCTTGGCATTTACAAAGGGGTGTCAGCATTGTCTCGACGGTTTACGGGATACCGACGACTCATGGCTGCTAATCGCGCACTTGGACGCGATATCCACATCTACGATGCTAACGACCCAATTACTGTTCTCGGAGGCTTCATTCGCAGCAACGATATCACAAATGCGAACTTGTACGCGATGCTAGAGGTCTTCTTGTTTTTTGACGGCAACTATCATCTACAGCGTGAGAATGGTACGGATGTTCAAAGAGATGAACAGGCTCTGCAAGCTGGTAATTACTATATTATCACTACAGGTACGAGGTTTCTATTGGCTACAGGTCAAGCAGTTAACTTTATACAGGCTCTATTTCTATTAGCAATGAAATTCCTTTGCTTCGTACGATCTCAGTGAATAGCGGAACTCATGTTGCAGTGTTTCGTGATGCTGTCCGTGAACGAGACCGACGATGTGTTATTTCAGGACGCAGAGCACATAGAGCTCAGTGGGGTGACTATCGGGGTTTTCAAGCTGCTCACATCTTTCCTTTGGCATATGAAGGGTACCGGGTGGAACAGAACCACGGCCGCTGGATCACTGTTCAGCCGGAAAACGCTCTGTCGATTAATCCTGATGTATGAATGCCTTATTTCTATGAAGTGCAGCGCGTCGGCTGATGACTGTTTCAGGACAACTACATGATTGCCAGCTTTGACGGTGATGGACTTGGTGTGGCAGGAAGGCATCTCGATCAGCAACTTCTTGAGGATCCGTGTCGCCCAGCTGATCAACTTTTGCATTGGCATTTCAGGCAGGCAGTGTTGACAAATATGAAGGGAGCTGAAGAGCCTATTTTCGAGCACGACTTTCCACCTGGTTCGGACATGATGGGAGAGATCATGGAGGGCCCGAAGGCTGCGGAGAGGATGGAGTTCGAGCTGTTAAGTCGATTGGCAGCACACCGATTTTGTATGACTTTATTGTGACTCGCCACCGTCCAGGGCGCCAAGCCCCCCCCCCCCGGGGGGGGCCCAAAGCTGAACGAGGTGGAGAAGATTTGCGACCGTGTGCGGTCGCGGAGTCATACCACCACTTCGTACGTACAATTACTGCATACTGTGCCCTGCGGAATATCGCACCTCACGCCCCCTTGAGATAACTACAGCTGCTTTCAAAAATATCATCCATGGCGTGTCTTCTTCATTTACTGTAAAGTAAAATTGATAAGTCGCTGCTCAAAAGAACAAAAGGGATTGAAATATTCGCCTACTTACATAGTGTATGACAACGAGTGATATGTCATGAAGGAGCGGATTATATGTATGTACTTTAACGGTACTTCGTACTACTTTTTAATATTTTAAGGTTTAAGCTTCATAACGACTTGAAAGCTTTTGATTTTTTGCAGCAGAATTTTGGGAAACTCAAGGAATCAGTACGGTCAGTGAAATTAATGAATTAAAAAAAAAAAAAAAGTAAGGTCAGTGACCTCTAATCATCATATATCACTCGTCCATCTAGGTATGTTGAGATTCCGGTTAGGGTACTATATGTAATCAGTTTTAGCATGTTGTGCTTGATTTACTATCTCCAAGTTACTTAGGTCAACCTTCGGTTATTTGTAATGGTGTTGTCGTCTGTGACTGGGAAACAGTTTTCCGCTGGCAACTCCGCCGTCGTGTCACATTGGCGTAACTTGGGTCTAGCTCTAATATTAGCTAGCTGAGTCTCATCGATATCTACATGTATGGCCTAGTGGATCCACCCACAGTGCGAGTCGCGATACGTAGTGCGTAAACTTTACAGCTTGCTCTCCTATAATTACTGCGCCCCATAATTTTGTATTTGTCAACAGCCAGCCACGGATCGATAGTGGCGTGGTGACCTAAATATTAGATTTTTTCACTTCTGTGAAATTACAAAAAAAATTACAGGGCAACATTTCTTTACGAAACACCTCGCTTAGCGTATACATGTATGCTTGTAGAACGTCCTATATCCCCTACCGCCAACCAAACGAAAGTGGCGATAAGTTCAGAATTCTGGCTGTCATGGACTGCATTGGAAGCATTGACTTAGTGGTTTTGTTTTGTAATTTTTCTTTTTAGCCATATCTCCCCTGCATAAGTCACACGCCACAGATCTTTATAGAATTGAATTACATATATGCATACACCTGGCTATGTAAGATCGACGCTCGCTGTTGTGGTTCTGAAGCTTGATAATATATGTAAAACAACTTGAATAGGGTTATATGAGTTGACATTTGCAGACATTTACGCCATGTAAACGACTAGTGGCACTGTAAAGTTTTCAAGACCTCCGTAGGTTTATGTTCTGCTACGTCAGCATGAATACGTTACCTTGAAGTAACTGTTTTCAAGCATTTCCATTCAATGTCGTAGATGGATCTGGCTAGACTGCATACAGGTTGGATAGAAAATTAAGAATATTGCACCGAGGTATCGCTTCGCTAAGTATCAGCTCCTCAGCTCTAAAAATCCGCAACTGTATTGCACCAACAAACAGTTCTACATCCACACACTACATAAACAACTCATCAACCTCTAACGGTCCCCCAAAATCTCACATCCAAATAAGCCATTCAGTACCGAACCATGGACATCACCCATATGCATCCTCCCCAATCGCAAGCCGGATTTATAAGTTCAACTCACCTCATCATAAACTACATCAATGCTATTCAGAACACGATGGAGCGAACATCACAAGAAATTGCTTCTAGAGCGGCCCCTCCCATAAGAAAAGACATTATTTCATCCCTACCCAACGAAATCGTTTGTCAGATCGCTGGAAACCTCTATATAAATGGTCTCAGATCACTTAGAGATGCTAATCCCCGAGAGTTCGGTGCCCCTCTCAACAAGCTGATTCGTGACGAACACCTCTTACATGACACTAGCTACATGATATCTGCCATGTTTGAAGCTGCAGCAAAACGAGATGTTAAGATGATTCGCTGGCTTTTCGAAAACGAGAAGGCAATAGGGCAAATACTCCTTCTCAACCAACCCCATCCGTCATATGCCGAGGAAAAGATGTTCAGAATACAACAAAATGAAAAAACCTACTGGTACTTTTGTCTTACCGGCGAGAAGCTCGATGACGAAACCCTGGAACTCATCCTAACTGTCGGGCCGAACCTTATGATGGCCATCAAAACGGAAGAGGCTCTAGGATCCTGCCTCCCTCCGGGAATGGTGCACACATACGACCAATACGGCCTGATTCTACACGCGGTAGCACACTCAGCGCTCTCCAGCGCTCTCCAAGCCACTGATGAACGCCGAGTGGAGAGATTCATCAGGCTAGGAACTAGTACAAAGCTTGCGACCTCAAGAACTGTTAATGAATTTATATACGGTTCTTGTGAAACGGACTCGTACTCCATTGACTGGAACCGGGGGGGTCGGTGGGCGGTGATTCGAGCAGAAGCTAATGCTTTGTTCTTTCACACTCCGCTCGAGGAAATTGACCCAGATCATCTATGGGCCGGGAGAAACAACCTTCTTCATATGGCTATTTTTTCTTCTGATTCTGTTAGAATGACCAAGTTTGCGTTATCAAAGGGACTGTGTATTGAAGCTGATAACCTGGCCGGCGAATGGCCACTCCAACTGGCATTCGACAATGAATATGTACCAGCCAAAGTAATACGGGTATTGATTGAATACGGGGCCGACACATCTGTGACACCGTCGTACCTTACCTCCGGGTATGAGCCAGGTTTGGGCTCTCAAACTAAATCTAGACGTGAAAAGGTTGCTGTCTTCTTGGATAGTACGAATATCGATTGGGTTGCCGGAGATCTTGATGGGAACATTTTTGGGGAGACGCTACTTCACGTTGCGGTCGTTTGGCTTATGCCAGTTAAGTACTTCAAAAGCCTGTTGAAAAGAGGGATGGATGTGAATGTTCGGGACGGTTCGGGGCGCACGCCAGTAGACGTGGCCTGGGATATTTTGGGTGCCGATGAAGAGGACTGTACTTGGCGTGTGCTTGATAGTGAAATGGATTTCAGTGCCAGACGGGGCGTCTTGATTAAGATCATCGGGTTTTTAATCAAGTGTGGTGGTACTGCGAGTATCCGTGAGGTCGGGGACTTTGTGGTGGTGGTGGAGGATTTGGCAACTTCTGGGAAATGTGATGGTTTTGAGAGGCTAGGGGAGCCAGGGGATCATGTGAAGCATGTGAAGCATGTGGCGATGGAGCATGTGGAGTATGTGGCCATGGAGCATCTAGAGGATGTGGACAATTCAATCGACATAACACCTTGCGACATCGATTACTTACACTCACTTGCAAGTGTGGGATGGGACTAGCTATATTTGCATTTTAAGTGCGACATTCCGATTTAAAGATTCCTGTAAGAGCGATACACTTAAATACATGTATTTAGTATTTAAAATTAGTACCCTTGTCTTTTTTAATACATGGCTCAACGCTACTTTAAATACACGCTTGATTTTTCATATAAAACCCCCCGGCGCCCGATGGTTACACAACGAGCTCTTAGGTATGTGGGGATATTCAGGGTCCATTAATACATGTACTAACCCTTGTGACGCAGTGGTTAGCGTGTCGTTCTTATACAAAATAGTTTAATCTGTATGCTATGCGAAAGCCGTCAGTTCGAATCTGACCTAGGGTAGTCCTTTTTGCCGGGGCTAGCTAATCGATCAATGCCGGGGCTAGCTAACGTTACTAAACCAACGTCAGTCTGTTTAAACTCATGTACGTTCCAGTTATTTATACTCACAACCCCTCACTCGATCAATGAAATTTGCAATTTGAGCTAAGGTTACAACCACATGTATTCTATACGTAACCAGTCTAGCGTATCTAATAACGGGAAATCTCCTTTGCAAACGAGTGATGATCTATGACGAATGTTCTAGATCATTCCGTGTGTGTACACACAATTAATACACCCGGTCAGTCCACAAGCCCCCATAGATAACCTTACTTAACACAAAAAAATTCCTAAGGTCATCTTGGTAAGAGATCAAAGATCGATAATCTATGAAATTCCAAAATCAAAAGTAACATCTGTGAGTCGTGTGACCTTCACAGAAGACAGTTAATTTTAATGACTTCTTATGGACAAACAGTGCTTCACTGGTGGCATTTCTTTCCTTTTTCTCATAGTCGAGTGATCGACCATGAATACATACGTCATACACTATCACTCGATATGAATTAGCTGTGTAGTCATATATCTACATTCAAAATCTATTTATAAAGTAATCAAGTATTTTTAAGAATGTTAATTTCAAAGAGCTAGCAAGTTATTAACGTATATATATCGAGCACGCTATATACGCAAAGTCTGTAGCGTATACTTGTACTTATGTACGGAGTTGACGGCCAAGCAAACAGGTTATATGTATGTACAGCCACGCTGCAAAAGTGTTCGTGATTCCGATTTCGGAGTGAGGCATTTCTCCATAGGTAACCGTGGCGGACCATCAAAAAAACCCCAAGAGAAGACTTTCCCAGTGATCAATGGCGCCCGGAATCAATGAAGAATAAGATCAATGACCTATCTTCTTTTATATATAGTCACGAACTATATTATATATTTTTCGTTGTTTTAAATCTCAACATTAATTAATAACATCAACGTTACGGGTGCGCCACACTGCGCATTGACATTAAAACTAAATCACGAACACTTTTGATGAGTGGCTGTAGATATGATAATTATCTGGTATCGCAGGATTGAGGGATATAAGCATCTAATCAAGCCCTTAGGTTTCCTAATATGGTTTTCTTTCTTTGCGGTTTGATGGCCGTCCATAGTCCTCGTGATGCTGAATTTAAAAATCGGTGTGCTATGATTGTCACCAAAAACATAAGACGCTATGGCCTCAGTGCATACACTAAACCCTACCCATTGCAACACTGATCTCTTGGCGTTTTCACTTGAAAGTGCGCAAACACCATGAGATATCACTCGGTCTTA